GTTGTCGTAAACTTACTTTGCGAAAGTTTGATTGTAAGTGAAAGTTTTTATTTCCCTCTCTCTCTCCCTCTCCCCCCCGGAAAAGAAACAATAAAAAAAAGCGTTGATGATAATAATAATAATAATAAGCAACGCATGAAATGGGAATCGATATGTGAATTAAGGTCGTGGCATCAATTGAAAAAAATTGAAAGATTGTTAAAGTTTTTCGTTTTGTTTTTGGGGTCGAAAAGTTTTTTATTTTTTCTTTTTTTTTTTTTTTTTACGTATTTGTGGAAATTGTTTTTACGGTCAATAAGAAATAATAATAATGATGATGATGATTTTTACGTTAAGTCATTCGTTTTAAAAACCGTAAATTTTTTTTTTTTAAATAAATTTTTTTTTTTTTTGCTTCTCCGAACTTTTTGCGGGTTGAGATATATGGAGATATGATGATAATAATGATGATTATTATGGAGTTGTTGTTGTTGTTGATGATGATGATGATAATAATATAAAAAATATATTATTATTTTTTATGGGTTGTTGAGAATTTATAATAATGGACAAATTACTTATTTATTCATATTTTTTTTTTTTTTTTTCGCGATCCACTTTAAAATATATAAAAAAGAAGATGTACGTGTGCGTGCGTGCGTGCGTGAGTTTTGTGTATATGCTTGCATAAAAATATGTATTTGCGTACGTAATCGTTTTTAAAAAATTTTATAAATGGCTTTTTCTGTCTCTCTCTTTTTATGTCTGCTTTTTATAAACAAACGCGCGCGCCATGTTGCAAACTGAATATAAATTCTTGGTTTCGAAACTTTTTCTTTCTTTTTTTTTTTTAATATTCAATGGTCGGAATCGGTTTTTTGTATATTCGGCGCACAGAAAGAAAGATCCGCCATGGTTTTTCTTTTTCCCCCTCTCTCTCTCTCTCTTTCTCTCCCCGATGTAATAAATTGTCCGTTTGAAAAATAAATTGATCCTTGGAAAATTCTTTATTAGTTTCACTCTTTCTCATTCTCTCTTCTCGTTTGTTATTTTTTTTATTTTTTTATTTTCTTCTCTCTCACTCTCACGTTTTCCGTTCGAATAAAGGAATTTAACAATGATGGAAGAGACGACGGGGAAAGGGGAAGGGGTAGGGGAAGGGGAATTTTTTTTTTTTTTTGGAAAAATGTTTCAAGTTATTTTATTAATTTTTGTTGAAAATTTCAATTTCCTGATAGAAAATTTTATAATTTATATCATCGTGTTTATATTAATATTAAATATATTCTGCGGTTTTTAATAACTCGAATAACTAAATCGTGATTTTACTCCTTTCTCTCTCTCTCCCTCCTTTTCTCCCTCCATCCACCCACCTCCCTTTTCCCCGAAAAAAAGAGGAAAATTATTCGTCATTTTCGCCTTCATTATCGTCCTCATCATCGTCGTCATCATTATCAAAATCAAAATGATTAAAATTAGATTAACACGACGGGGAGCATCGGTAAAAGCGGGGGAGGAAGGTATTAGGGGGGAAGAGAGGAGAAAATATCGAGGTTTATATTTCCTTTTCGAAATTTCGTCTTGAAAAGATCGATTTATAATCATCATCATTATTATTATTATTGTTGTTCACATGGCTATTAGTTTAAATGAAAGTTTTACGTCACGTTTTTTTGGTGTAAACAACAACAACAACAACAACAATAATAATAATAATAATAATAATCACTGAATTTTTCCCATTTTTATTTTTTCGTTTTTTTTTTTCTTCTGCATTATTCTTTCCCCTCCTTTTCTTCTTCTCTTCCCCCCCTTTTTCTCTCTCTCTCTTTTTCTTTCATTTAATTCCGGAATGCCATCGTGATTCGCATTTCCTTCGTTGAAATCCCCCCACACTAACACACGTGTTCTTGTTATTATTATTATTGTCGAGTTAAAAAAAAAAAAAAAAATTTATTGCCGTAAGAAACGCAACGGAAAAATATTATTAATATTATTATTATTATTATTATCATCATCATCATTATTACATTTTATTTATTTGTTTATTTACTTATTAATAAGTACGAAACGGAAACGTTAAAAAAAAAAAAAAAAAAAAAAAAACTTATCGTTATTAATTGGATTTGAAATGAAATCGTTTTAAATTGTTAAAAATTTCTACGCGTTTTTAAAAAGTTAGAGAGAGAGAGAGTGAGAGAGAGAGACAAAAAAAAAATTTAGCAAATCAATAAATAAAAGCAGAGGCGGCGGGGGCGGTGGCGGTGGCAGCGGCAGCAGCTACAGCAGAAACGGCAGCACCAGACTTTTCTTTTTTTTTTTTGTACCGTTTTTTTTTTTATTTTTTTTTATTTAAAGTTAATTTCGTTTCTGTCGCTCTCCCCCCTCCCTTCCCCCCCTCAAAAAAAGGTTAAAAATATAAATTTTATTTTGAATTTAAAAAAAAAAAAAAAAAGAAAACCTTTTTAATACCTGAAGTCATTAATTTTATTTAAAAATAAATTCATTGAAAGTTTTTTTGTTTTAAATTAAATGATTTTGTAATATTTTCGGTGTCATTTTTTTCCCCTGTTTTTTCTGTTTTTTTTTTTTTTTCAAGGGATTCAGGGAGGCAGCCGTGGGCGTGGGGGGGCGTGGGAACGGGGGGTAATTGGTTGTTTTTTTGACGAAACGATGGCAGAAAAAAAAAAACCGCCGCCGCCGCCGGCGCGAGGTTTTTATTTTCTCTCTTTCATTCTTTCTTTCTTTTTCTCTTTTTTAAAAGTAATTAATGCAAATCTTATTAAAAGCGTGATAAAATAAAGAAGAGGGAAAGAGAAAGAAAAAGAGAAAAGAGAGAGAGAGAGAGAGAGAAAAACAACGTCGGTTGGTTAAATTTCGGTGAAAAATATATAAGGAAAACCTTAAATGAAAAATTTTTTGGAATAGAGTCAGATTGAAAGCATAGAACAAAAGGAAAATCAGGAAGAGGAGGTAAAGGAGGAGGAGGGTGGAAGGGAAAAAGTGGGAGGGTCGGAAACTGGGAAGGTTTAAGGTTTCTTTTCCTCATTATATATTATTATTATTATTATTATTAAAGGTTTTAAATGACTCGGAGCATTTAAATTTTTGCTTTTTTTTTCTTTTTTCCTTTTCTTTTTTTTTTTTTATTCCTAATTTGAGCTTAAATGGTATTAAGTCTTTCTGGAAAAAAAAAGTCTGGAAAAAACTTCATCTCTCTCTCTCTCTCTCTCTCTTTTTTCTCTTTCTGTCTCTTTCTGTTTTCGCCATTCGTTTTCTATTTTCGGATTTAATTTTCTTTCTTTTTTTTTTAATTATATGATGCTAACAGGTTTTTCCTTTTTTTTTTTTTTTGATAAGAAACTTTGATAACGTCATTTTCTTATTATTATTATTATTATTAATAAACATATAATGTTTTTTTTAAGAGAGAAAGAGAGAGAGAGAAAAGAAAGAGAAATTTAAAAACATGGCGGAGGTTTTTTTTCTTGCCTCTTTTTCGTACATAAGTTAAATTTGATAACTTTTCTTCCCTTCTCTCTCTCTTTCGCTCTCTCTCTCTCTCTCTGTTTTTCTCTTTCTCTTCTGGAGAATTTTTCGAGTCCCATTGAAAATCGTTCGTTTGAATTTTTTTCCATGCACGCTTTCATTTTTTTCATTTTTTTTTTAAGGACTTGAAAAAAAAAAAAAAAATTTTCACTTTTAATATTATTATTTTCTTTTCAATTTTATTATTTTCACTTTTTTTTTCTTCACTTACTTGTTTGTTTCTCTCTTTTTCTCTCTTTCTTTTTCTCTTTCTTTTTACCGTTTATTTTCGTTTGTTTGTTTGTATTTTTTTATTTTTATTTTATTCTATTTATTTATTTATTTATTTTCCACGAATGTTTTTTTTTTTTTTTATAAGAAATCCGTTCAATTTTTAATTGGCTCTCGTAACGAGTTTTTTTTTCTCTCTCTCTTTTCGTTGGGAAAATTAAAAATAAATGAAGTCGTTTTTATTTATTTTTCAATGTTTATATTTTTCTATCAATGGAGTTTTTTTTTTGGTGGGGAGGAGAGGGGGAAGAGGAGGTTTTTGAAAATTTTTTTTCTTTACCTTACGTGAATGAGATCTGGATAAAAGGAGGAAAAAAAAAACTGAAGACTCTCGGAAATTTCATTTATTTATTTATTTGTTTGTTTGTGTTTGTATGTGTGTTCGAAAAAAGATTACTCGTAATCGTTTTCGAATCAAACCGGATATGACGTTTTTTTTTTTTTGTTTTGAGAGACGAATTAGGAAAAAAATGAAAAATGTTGTAAGGATGACGATGACTTTTCATTTCGATTTTTCTAGAATTTTCTCGAATGTTATCGAACATATGAAATGTTTTTATTAAACCCCTTTTTTTTGTTTAGCTTATGTAAACAAATTTTTATTAATGACGTAGATTTCGGCTAAACATAAAAGAAAAGAAAAAAATTCGCGCCGTTGAAAATTAAAAAAAAAAAAAAGAAAAATGTTTTTGAGAATGTCGTGACGTCATACTCGTGTTTTTTTCCTTTTCCTTTTCCTTTTTTTTTTCTGCTTTAACGGTCTCGTTCGCTTTCGTTTATTTTTATATTTTTTATTGTTATTTAATGGTTTCTTTTGACGATCGAATAGAATTGGAAATAATAGAATTAAAGTTCAATAAAACTAATGAAAGTTTTCTTTTTTTTTTTTTTACAAATTTATTGAGGGAGAAAGAAGGGAGGAAACAAATAACAAAAAAACTCCCGCCATTTTGCCGCCATTTTTTAAATTTCTTTTTTTCGAATCGAATGCGAAAAAAACGAAAATTTTTTTTTGAAAAAAGGCATTTCCCGCGTTTTTTTTTTTTTTTTTTTTGTTTCGTTTTTCAAAGCTTCAGAAAAATTTTATTTTTAATGTTTTCAGTTTCTTTAATTTAAAAAAAAAAAGGGGGGGAGAGGGTTTTGTTTTTTGTGAAAGTTCAAAAGTTCAAATCGACAGTAGAAAAAAAAAAAATGAAATAATAATGTCGCACGACGAGCAAAGGAAAATAAACGATTCGTTAATTAATTCGGAATCATCGAATCCGTCTCGAAGTGATTTCCGCGAAAATCCCGTTCAAAAGGCGGAAAAAAGCGAAGTCGAAGTGGGAGTAGGAGGAAATGGGAGTGGGAGCGGGGGCGGGAGTCGTTCGCCGAATTCGCAACTACAACAACAACGAATTCAAATCAATCACATAAAAAATTTTGAAAGTCAATCTCAGCGTGATACGCGTTCGAAATTATCACCAGGAGGAGGAAACGTGAGCCAAAGATTACAAAATGCGAAAACGTTCCTAGGAGGGAACAGAGCCAACGAGGAATGTTCGACCAATGCAAAATCGAACGGGGAAAAACTTTGCGTAAGCCAAAATAAAATTTTAAATTATGGATCCATGGGACGGAACAGACGGAGCGAACACAGAAATTCAAATTTTGAAAGGCGGTTGAGTTACGGTTACGATTCTCAAAACGTTCGAGACGTAAGAACGACGACGAATCCGGCGTTTAATAAAAATTTCATGATGCAAACGGGAAGTTTGGAAAGGGATGGAAATTATAAAATGATGACGATGATGAATAATTCGCCCTACAACTGTTCCTCGTTGAAAAGAGAATCCATGCGAAACATGGTCGACTACCGGCAAAATCCAACGAACGGAAGAATGAACGTTTCGACGAACAAATCGAACAATCATCATCCTAGTCATCATCAAATTTCGAATTCGTCTCCTTCGAAAAATTCGTCGACGGGTAAAAACGTCGCCGTTCCGACGGAGAAATCAAACGAGGAAAACGCAACGTCGAAAGATTACCGGTATTTTCCGAGTCGAACGGAATCGACAAATCGAACGTCTTACTATTCGCACGTGTCGCGTTTGGAAAGGTCTGGTAATGACGAATGCGATGGAAGAACGACCGTGAATGCGAACGTCAAACGTTACAGCTACGATTTTGATAAATCGTCGTCCGTGAAATCGGATAGACACGTTAATTGTGTGGGATACAAAACGGAATCCCCGGAGAAATCCACGGGGATCGTCGAATACGGGAAAGATAGGCAAAGGTTTTTGCCACAACACCCGCCTCCGGGCGGTCCTCCGCCATTTTATAATCCTCCTCAACCACCTGGTAAGTTGTTGTAGAATTTTTAATTATCTTCCATCGAGTTTGTGTTGTTGTTTAATTTTTATTGAGTTTCGATCGTTGACAACCGTAATTAAAATTATTTAAATTTCCTTTCATCGAAAAAAAAAAAACGTTTTGACACGTTCGCCACGAAATTTTCAATACGCGCGGAATCGGCAGCGACGGTGGCGGCGGAAGCGGCAGCAGGCGGCGTCAAAGGAAACTTTACTACTTATTTTAATTTTTATTTTTTTATTTACACGTTTGCAAACATCAAATTTTAATTAGAATTTATTATTATTATCGTTTTTGTTTTTGTTGTTGTTATTATTATTAATTATTTAAATTATTACTTTTATTATTATTATTTCTACATGTGTTTTGTGAAAACGGTGTTGAATTTATTCGAATTCTTCGAATCTCGATTCATGTTGATGATGATGATGATGATGTTTTTATTGAAATTTTCCCTTTTTGAAAAGCGTCGCTTACGCCATTTTTTTTTTTTTTTTAATATTTCTCTTACGGCGCTTTTCTTTCTCTGGGGATTTTTTTTTTTTTTTTTACGAAATCGTTTAGTTTATTTTATTTTCAACCGTATTTCTTCAAAAAAAAAATTTCCACGTAAGATTTCCAGGAATTTAGAGTCAGGAATTATAAAATAAAGCTTTAAAAATTTTCATCTGGTCACATTTGGTCCTCCTACCGGCGATTTTCGCCACTCGTGAATTTAAAATTCTTTTTCAAATACCTTCGGGGTGGTAGCGTTGCTGTTGTTGCTGTTGTTTTCTTTTCTCCGTTTTGATATTTTAATTACTTTACTTTACTATTATTATTATTACAGTTGCTGTTGTTTTTGTTTCAAAATTAAATAATAAATTGAAAGTTTTTAAAAAAAAAAAAATACCGTAGTCGTTAAAAATTGTTGTTCTAAGTTTTCTTTTTTGGGGGGGAGGGGAGGAGAAGGTTTTTCGTTTCTCGCTTCCTTGTTAAAAAATCACGATTTCGTTGCTCCCTCTTTTTTTTTTTTTTTGGAATTTTCCAACAAGAGGCTCTTTTTTTTTTTAAATAATCATTTGCGAAAGGATAGGGAGCGGATTTGTCAGAGGGTAAAGTTTTTGAAAAATTTTTCGTGGGAGAAACAAGGAAATTTCGTTCGTTTTTGTAACAAATTGAATAGTAAGAGTCCCCCGTTTTAATTTGAGAATTTACGACGTGCTAACAATCGATAGAACGCCTGGCTTCTTTTTATTCTTATTCTTATTCTTCCAACCCTCTCGTATGCTTGAACGCCGCTTTCATTTTCTCTTTTCCGTTTTTCTCTTCTGGAAAAAAAAAAAAAAAAATTTTTTTAATTTGAAATTTTTCTATATTTCCATGTTTTTATAAATTTGTTTTTTTTTTTTTTGCAAAATTTACACGAGATATTTACGTCGTTTTTACGTTAAAAGTTAACGGAAATCGTTGATGACGCGCACACACGCGAACGTTGGGAAAACGATTCATATTTTTCTATCGCAATAATCGATGTTGTTTATATTAGATTTTTGTTTATTTTAATCATCGTATTGAATCCGTTGCTAAATGGTAATTATCATTATCATCATCATCATTATCGTCATCATCATCATCATCACCTTATCAAAATAATGAGGGAAATTGATTTAAGACTCCATTAGACTTGGCGCACGATCGTTAAATTTCTTTTCTCACAATTTGCTGGTGCTGGTTTTTCCCCCCTTCCTCCTCCCCCGGAGGAATTTTAGTCGTTTTATAGGTTTAAGATTAGTTGTGACGTCATTAGTATGACGCAAGGATTGAAAGGAAGTGAAGGCGTCAAAAAAAAAATAATGATTGAATGAGAAAAAAGAGTCGAGAGTTTGGTGAAGTTCGTCGATTGAATGAAAAATTCGAAAATTCAATTTTAATAATAATAATAATAGGTATAATAATAATGATGATGAGGAGAATTTTATAATTATTATTATTATTACTCTATCGCTTCTTCTGTCTCTCTTTTTTTTCCTTGACATTTTTGAATGTGCCGAAAGTTCCCTCCCTATTTTTTTTTTTTTTTGCATATCAAGAAATATCAAAGGTAAAATTTCTTTTTTTTCTTTTTAACGGGAAGATCAATGACCCAAAACATAAAAAGGAAAAAAAAGGAAAATTTCTAGAAATACAATATGAGATTTCGAATGGGGGGAAGGGGGCGTAAGTGAGAAAACATAAAATAAGAAAAAAAAAATTTCTTTTTCTTCTTATTCTTCTTATTTTCTATAAATTGAGTTAAAGCGTTATGATTATTATTATTAATAATTTTAAAAATTAAACTTTTCATACGGAATTTATTATCATTATTATTATTATTATCATTACTTTTGTGAATGTAATTCGTCTTGGAATTCTTATTCGTGAATCCTTTTTTTTTTTGTGCGTAACGCTCGAAACGTTAAAATATCAATAATTTTGTTTCTCAATCTTTTGTACGCGTATCTCTCTCTCTCTCTCTCCTCCCTCTCTCTCTCTCTCTCCTCCCTCTCTCTTTTCTCCTTCTGCCTCTTTTAATTTATATTTTTCGTATTTCTCCCTTTAGGTTATTCAATATTTATAAATTTTTTTTTTTTTTTAATGGCTACAGGGCCGAATATTAAAAAAAAAAAAAAAAAAAAAAAAGAGAGAGAGAGAGAGAGGGAGAGTGAGAGAGTGAGATGAAATAATTATTCTTTCGTTTTCTCGAGTAGTGGTAGTAGTCGCCTTCTGATGACACGTTAATAACGATTTTAAATCTGATTTTAATTAAAAAAAAAAAAATTTTTTTTTAAATTTTATTTCGTCGTTAAAAGTTTTAATTAAAAATAATAATAATAATAATGATGATGATGATGATGATAATAATAATAATCATTTGATTTTATGATTTTAAAAAGTTGAGTTTTGTGAATTGATGTTGATTTGATTTAACAAAAATGTTTTTTTTTTTTCCTTCTGTAATCGCGCCTGGAGAAAAGTTTTTTGCAATCATTTCAAACGATAATAATGATTATTATTATTATTGTTATTATTATTATTATTAGTGTCGTTTTGTTTTTGTTAATGAATCGTATTTGTTTTTATTTTCTTGTGACTGGAGGAAAACAACAAATTCCGGAAGTTTTACGTAATGCCATGATAACAACGTAATGACGAAACTAAAAACAAAAACAAAACAACGACAACAAACAAACAACAAACAAAATTTATACAAAAACAACAATTTTAATTATTTAAAAAAAAAAAATCGATGATAAGAAATAAACAAACAAAACGAAATCTGGAAAAGCGTAAAAAAAAAAAAAAAAAAAAAAAAATATTGAAAATCACATAAGTCGTCTTATACAAATTTTCCAGTTTTTTTTTCTCTCTCTCTCTCCCTTTTGCTCTCTCTCTCTTTCTCTCATAAGAAATCTATGGGATAATACGTTCGTTTAATTTTACACATAGTTTTTTTTTAACTTTGGTTGTGTTTTATCAGTTGTTAACTTTTAAAATTAAATCCGTTGGAACGCTCGAGAAATAAATAATAATAATAATAATTAATATTATTAATTATTTAAAAACAAACGGATGTGGTGTTCGTTTGTTTAATTAAAATTTAAACGTTATTATTATTATTAAGTAAATATATTTATTTATATATTTGCTCTCTGATCGTTTCCGGTTTTCGGTATCGTTTTTCCAAAAAAAAAAAAAAAAAAAACGCACGCATGTAAACGTAAAAAAACGTACGCGGACGCCCGTACAAACAAACACGTTTACGCAAAACTTATGTGAGAAAACCATGACGACGACGGCGCGTAAAATCAGCTGGCACCTGTAACCGTTCGTAGGAAATCAATAAACGAGAAAGAGAAAGAGAGTGTGAGAGAGAGATAGAGAGAGAGAAAAGTTAACATTTTCCTATTTTTATATCATTTCATTTTTATTTTTTATCTTTTACGTACATTTTACGTTTGTTTCTTTGTCTGTTTGTTTGTTTGTTTGTTTGTTTTATTTCCTTCTTTTTCTACTACTCATCATTGTTTTACAATTGATTTCTTTTTTTTTGTACGAGATGTTCTGTGCTCTTCAAATTAGAACGTTTCTTTCTACGACATTTTATTTTTTTTTCCGTTCATCGTCGTTTAAAAGGCGAACGGCTTTTTTTTTTTTAACTCTCGTACGAAGTCAAAAAAAAAAAAATTCAGGGAAGAAAAGATTTTTATTAAACTACATTCCATTCGTGATAGATCGTGTGCGTTCGTTACGAACGGTTCCGAACGGTGAAGCGTTCATTAAAAATCGACACGTAATAATAATAATACGAGCGAAGCACACAATAAAATATTTGATTTTTTTTTTTTTTATTTGCTTCCTTTTAACGTCAATCAAATAATTTTTCGCTCATATTTAAAAATTAATCCGCACGTTTTTACCGAATTAAAAAAAAAAAAAGGAACGTCGAAAATTAAATCGACGAACGTATTTCTCTCTCTCTCTCTCTCTCTTTTTCTCATTATTTTAAATTGTATTAATAATACACGTAAAGCGTCGGAGAAAGGGGGGGAGAAGAGAGGAGGGAGAAGGATTTCGTGTTACGTAAATTATTTATTATTTATTTATTTACTTATTTAATTTATTATAAATCGTGTGAGAAAGGATTTGAAACGTTCGTAGTTGGAAAATTCGAGTGTTTTTCTTTTTTTTTTTTTTTTTTTTGACGAAACGCGATTCCTAAACGATGATGACGACGATTTAATAATTTATTTACGCATCGTCGAATCCGTTGTGTGTTGTCGAAACCGTTCGGGGAACGAACGTGGCAAATAAACATACACGTTCGTTCGAACGATGTCTGAGATATTTTCCTCTTGAAACGGAAAACGTTTCGAATAAAAAAAAAGGAAATGAAAGAAAAAAATAAATCATAGAGTAAATAATTATTATTATTATTGATGATTAATGATCGTTGATGAAACGTTAAGTCCGAATGCAAGTC